ATGTGGTCTGAAATGGGAAAACAGTACGCCCAATGATAAGACGTCTATTATCAGATCATCAACTTACCAGGGATATCTATTTGCATATTCGCATTGCTGTCTGTCACGACTGTTTTATTTGCAATGTTCCATGTATACGTAACGTTGCTCCCTTTTACAGTCTTAGGGATCAGGTCGAAAGACTTGCCAGTAGCGTAGCTAACGCTCTTGTCATAGCATAAAGGTTGTTCGATTTGCAGGTTGGTTATGCGTTCCTGGCGAAAGAAAGAGGTTTGAGATTGTGTTAATGATTGGAAGAAAGGAAAAGTGGGGCGAAGAAAGAAAGAAAGAAAGAAAGAAAGAAAGAAAGAAAGAAAGAAAGAAACAAAAAAACAAAAAAAAACAACAAAAAAACAAAAAATAAATAAATAAATAAAAAAATAAAAAAGCAAGCAAAAATAAAATAAACCAACAACGAAATACTTAAAAAATAAAAATGCAGTATTGGGGTTCCTGTGAGTTTGCAACATGGCGTCTAGAATGAAAGGTTTGTTTGAAAACTTGAACCAAAAGTTATTTCTTTGTCTTTTAAAACCATAAATTGCTAAAATAATGCTACAACAATGTAGAGAAGTGCTTGTTTTTCACTGCTTGCAAACATAGGCGCAATTTGGTTAGATTTAGCAGTACTTTTTAGCTAGTTTTTCTTTATACCAAACAAAATGGCCGCTATGTATTTTTGTTGTCCTTCGAAAATTCCAAAGAATTCGTACTTAAACAGTGGGTTGTACAAGTTATATTTTTTGTTTACCCTTTCTTCAATGATAGGGACTGGAAGAGCAAGTAGAACAACTCCTGCCAGAGCACATGCAGATCCGATGACTTTACCAAAGAATGTACCTGGATATATGTCACCATATCTGTGTGGAAGGGAAACATTGACTCCTTTACTAGTAAGTATTGGCAAGCTAAAAAATAATACACGTGTTTGGGAGACTTTTTTTTATAAATAGAACTATTTTTCAATTCTTAAAATGCCTTTTTCTTTCTTGATTAAAAACTCTTTTACTCCGACGAAGGACTAGCGTCCGAAACGTCAGTAAGTTTTTTCATCTTTTCACGGTGTTACATTTACCCATTTATCATTACTGTTTCATTAGTAACACCGACGCAGCTCACACTAGTTTTTAACTAGTTATGTCTTCTGATTAGAAACTCATTTATCCAGGGTTTGACTTATTCATAGTATCAAAATTTCACAAAATGTGAAAATGCACAACTTCAACAATACAAACACTTTGAAATTCCATGAACCTACACTAGAACACGTGAATATCCTGCATAAGATCGACGATGAGCACCCCTGAGCAACAGAGAATTACCTGTTACCTTGGTTACCCAGTGCGTAAATGGAATTGTTTCGTTTACGCATGCGCCAGCATATTATAGTTGCGTTAAACGGCTAAAATTTGCTAGCGAATTAATTTCTCGATTATTGGTAACTATGGTTACGTTCAGCATAAATTTCATTCATTATTTACGATGGTGACGTCACAACTTACCCTAAGGTTGTCATGGTTACAAGTGTGTACCAGAATGCTGCAGGAATGCTTGTGAATCCATTAAGATTTTCGCTACCTCCATCTTCAGCCACGAAAATTAATGTGGAAAACATGACCATTAGGGCAAGAAACGAGAAGAGGATTCCACCTAACTCTCCAGCAGCCTGGCCAATCGATAGTAACAAAGTTTGAAATTGTTCCGAATGCCTTGCTAATTTAATTACCCGAAAGATTCTAAAAATGCGAAGAATAGTAATGATAGACTGTAGAGCAGTATTGTTAGTCTCAATCAGCCGTTCCATGATGCCAAAATAGTAGGGCAAAATCCCAATCAAGTCTACAATGTTCGAAAAATCCTTGATGAATTCTCGTCTATCGGGACAAGAGAATAATCGAGAGAAGAACTCAAGTGTGAAGACCGCGACACAGAAAGAGTCGACGCAGAAGAATTCGGCCTCGAAGTAATCCCCACATTTCCTGTTTAAAGCGCACTCCAACGTTTCTCCAACTATGATACAAATATTTATCACCACGACTAGGACGAAAAAGTAGCTGAAAATAGCGGCTGCTAAAGAGCTTTTAAAGTCAGTTAAAAATTCATGCAACTTTTCTCGGCCACCGAAGGCGTCTGGAGCCTTTTTCTGAATATGTATTCTCTCCTCTTCGAGGTTGTTTTCAAAGTTTATATACTCACAGCAACACTCAGAGACAAATGATTCCGGAATTCCAAAGAATGCGAGCTCATCGCTTATAGATTCCATACAATCTGGCGTCGAAATGTGAAACTTTCCTGTCCGATAGAAGTCAAGAATGTATTTGAACATTATTGGATCTCGATCGAAGAAAAATTCATTCCTTTTTTCATCGAAGAACTGTGTTTTTCTATTTCCTCCGAGTAAAGTGTCAGGGAAGCGAGCCAAGTTCTCTTTAAGAATTTCGAAGTACGTTCCACCAACGTTGAAGCGAAGTCTGTGATCATATTTAGATATTGTCTGTAAGTTTTTCAACGAAGTGTGAACACCGGGCGCAGACACGATTCCCCCTAATCGAAAAACTGCCTTACGTTGAGTCTTTGGCGATTTTGTATGGTTTTGTTTTGAAGGATTGAGCTCACTAAGTCTATCCATTTACGATTATTTCTTCTTCTAACAAGGTTGTTCTTCAGTCGTCAAGAATCAGACCAGGAATAAGACCAGTTGCAAAATCCATCATCATTCTATACCATAAAATGTATTAATGATAGAAGACTTGCATGTCCACACAGTGGGTTTGTTTAACCATTTACACAATTTTTATCGATATCAAAAGATTTCCCCGCAAAAATGGTTACCAAAAAACGCATACACGTTTAGATATTTAATCTTGTAGTTTTCCCCCTCGAATTTATAAAAAATATATCAACAACAAGCTTCGTGTATATTTGAATATGATATAATTTTTTTATTTCAGTAACAAATAACGCTTCGTACTGTTAATTCACTCGATCATCGGGTTTTGAATTTCTGTTGGAGTTCCATTGCAATTTAATTCTCCCAAAACCGCAACTTTCAAAAAAGGCGATTCACGTCTCGAATTGTTAATAACACTTAATATTTCATCGACTTGATCACGTGCGTATGTAAACGTCAACACTTAATTATCCCTAACGACTTCAAAGTTTGAAAAATCTTCCATAAACGCCGCTATATAAGCACGTGCTTGATATGTTTGCATCTATTCAAATAAGCGTTATTTCCAAAAAGAAAATAATAAAACTCACACACACACACATATATATATTATTTAATGATGACATACTGTGGTCATGGTTATCATTTCTCATAGAGATATGTTTCTAAACTTCAAACGGCTTTCATAACATTTCCACGACTAGAATAAAGGGAGTTCCTCGCATGGCGCTTTCGCTGTTTCATCCGTGCCACATAATTCTACACAAGGTCATGTTAAATTCAGTTTTAATTTAATAAAACAGCTTAATTTTAGTTCGAAATTATATTAACTAATTCAGTCAAAATCTTGGATTTTAAGATGAAATGATTAATGTGATGGAAAGTAAGGAATATAGATTTTAAAGATGCAAACTAGGTTTCTACAAGCAAATTTTTCTCGAAAAATAAAAGAATAAAATATCCGAAAATTCCTGGAATATTTTTCCCAGAAAAATTTGCTATAAGAAATGTAATTCATATATTTATAATTATCCAAGCAGCAAAAAACACCATATAAATTTTGCTTGATAACAGTAAACAAGTTACCCGTCTAGATTTATAAATGACTTGAAGGCTCCCGCTGATAGCAGTACTATTGTTCCTGAAGGGATTACCCTGCTTAAATAAAGGTTTTCATTCATTCATTCATTCGTGAAATATGGCATTTAAGTGAAGATTTCGGATTTCCTATAAAAAACTCTAAATTGGTTAATGTGTGAAGTGAATGTATATAGATGTTTATCTGGTGTTGCTTGGCTAGGAAAAGATGATTAAGATATAATTTAGGTGATAAGACAGCAAACATGTTAATGTTTTAAATGAACCTTATTTATACATGAACTTCGATTATAGGACCTCGTTTTAACGGGAGAAAACTCTTAAAACGTTGATATTACACCATGCATCAGACGTACTACAATTACCATAATACCTTGCAGACTTTCTTATTCTCAGTTATTTAGTATAAATAATTGTCTTTCAAATGGTATGAGGAAAAAATACTTGAATAAATTGAAAGAAAATTCGCAAAGCATTCTGGTACTAGTAGTAGAAAGATGACTCAAGTTTGTAATCTGGTTTAATCCCTGGACCCCCAGACAGCAGAGTTTTTCTTCTGTGCTTCGAGAGTAGTCCTCAAGGTTCTCCTTTTCCCACAACATATGTAAGAATCCGTTGCCATGTCCTTACAACCATCACAGAAGTTATTAATAGATCGGACGATTCTGGGACAACCAACTTCTAAAGAATATTTCAGTAGAATGGCTTGTTCACGCTATAAAAATCGCAGATATTTTAAAATTTCAAAAACATTTTTACCAAATTTTTAGGTCATATCGTGGTAAATAATAGCACAAACTAAGCTAAACCATTTGTTTTCTGCTACAAAAACACGGAAACAGTTTGAAAGAAAAACGGTTTCAAGCGCGTGCTTGTTCCGTGAGCGAGCAATTCGTAATTTGTTGACGTAATTTGTTGGTATGCCCTCCTATTTTCCACTGCCCTCGACCAATCAGGAAGTGAGAAAAATTTACATATAAAGGATAGCTGTCAAACTGAAATCCTTTGGCAAGCTTGTGAAGGTCACAGTAACAAGAAAACATTATTCAACACTATAAAATAGGTACTTTCACTGTAAATGAGACCAGTTTTGGCTTGTCTGCACAGTACTTAGACACAAACCCAACCTCCGAAGGATCGAGTTCCCAGTTGTACATAAAGAATTCATCAAGAAGACCATTAAATGGCTCTTTGTCCGGATAATGTCCTCCTATACTAGCCCTGCTCCAATCAGTAGACAACCTAGGTCCACTTTGGTTATGAAAACTTGCTCTTATAAGACCGTTCACATAAATCTTTGCATTTCCGGTCTTCGAGCTATAGGTTCCGGTCACGTGACTCCAAAGTCCTTCAGGAATCGTGACCTCATTGGTTAAGGCATCAAATATGATGCCACCCTTTTTGTCTTTACTTTGCCAATGGACTTTACCGTTTATTACTTCTAGGTTGTATACGTTTTTATTGTCATCTTCTAACGCCTGGAAGATCGAGTGTACGTTACTTGTTCTGTTCAGGTTAATCCAGGCAGATATGGATACTGCAGATGTTGGTTTGCGTCGGTATTTACTGGAGTTGAGATAAACCTCTGCGTCATCAGATTGAAGGTCCAAGCATGCGCCACACTTGTCGCAACCGCTGGCTCGTACATATGCACCTGCAATGTCAAAAAAAAATTAAATCTATGTACGGAGTAGTGTGGAATGTTTCATATAAATGGCAAGTTTTTAATAGAAATCTAACGGTTTAGGATGAAGGGAAGAATAATAATGAGATCCCCATTCATTCCACTCATAACCTGATATCAAGCAATAGAATACTTTCTGGTCGATAGTACATGATGGGCAGTGTTTGCCCATCATTGTTGGCTGATAATGAGATTTATAAAACTCATTCAGAGTGATACCAAGCAATAGAATACCTCTGGTTGATAGCACATGACGGGCAGTGTTTGCCCATCATTGTTGGCTGATAATGAGATTTATAAAACTCAT